TAATAAATATTATATATTAAATAATAATGTGTGTAATAAATTATATTGGAAATTGTGTGTTATATATAGGTAGATATTATTATCATTATTATTATCATTATTATTATTATTATTATTGTTATTATTATTATTCGCGTTGTTAACATTTGTTGTGACAATTAATCGACTCGTGATAGTTAGACACACACTCTCTCTCTCTCTCTCTCTCTCTATCTCTCAATTGACGAATATTATTTATTCGATTACAAATTAATAAGCGTAATTTGTGACTTGTTTTTTTTTTCTTCTCCAATTGTTATATCAATGATTAATTATTATTAATGTTATCGAGTTCCGGATAGTTTTACATATTGCTGTTAAAATCCCCGCCGCATCATTATGATACCATGGATAAATTAAAATGGGAAATTACCGTGATGGTTGCATCATTTCATATTTTCATACAAATAATAATAGAAAAAAAAAAAAAAAACAAGTATGAAGAAAACAAGTCAACAGAATGCGTTACGATCAAATTTACAAAGATTTATGTAATTGGTGTTATTTTAAAAACCGGTATATTACGATATTTACAACCCGGACGTGTAATGTATCAACAACATCGTAGGAATTGTAGTCAGATAATTGTATTTTTTATTCTGACTAACAAAAATAATTGGGGAATGGGGGGCGGGGGGAGAAATAAAAATAATTGTTTTTAAATGTATTTTCTTATCAAATCAGCAAACAATATCGATGTACTCATACTAGTTCTTATATTTGACGCTAAGTGACAGCATAAGCTTGGTAGAGTCCAACAAGTGTATCATTCATTCTCGTACCAAACACCAGATGGCAGCTCATACTATAAAATTATTGATCAATGATTATCATTATTTTCGAATTATTCATTTAAATATTGTACAATTATTTATTGATTAATAATTACTCGTAATAATGCACTCGTATTATATACTTTAAAATGTAATTAATCGAATGCAAACAAACGTAAATGTTATTTAATGTTTGGCACCGAAGTTCAATGGGCGCCATTTTGATGGTACCATCTTCAACATGGAATAATATTCGCGAAATTTCCAAACAATTTTTATCGAATTAATTAAATACAAGTTAACATTACATCAATAATGATACCATTGATATGAAATAAAGACAAATTGTCGATGAAATTCGAATTTTACCGCTAATGCGATAACCACTGTGCTCCCATCGGCGGTAAATTCGAAAACTAACGAACGTAATCGATTATAAATCGAGAAACGTACGAGAGAATACAATCGAAGTTTTGTTCAACTTTTAATTATCGACGAGGTCGAAACGTATGACGATAAGAAAACGAGCCTATCAAAATGAAACGTGTGCAATTAAAAAAAAAATAAAAAGAAAGGAAGGAAGAAAGATACAACAAGAAAAAATTGAATACAAATCAGTAGACGAATCGTAGTTTGGAAAGAAAAAAAAATCTTTAATCAACGTGTGGCTCCATCTTGGAATATCTTCCTCCTAGCTTCCCCCCAACCCCACCCCCTCCTTATTTCACTCTCTTAATCGATACTCAGCATGTTCAGACAACGGCAGTTTGATTTTCTCGAACGAGTTTCGATTCATCGCAATTGATATTAAATGCCAGGCCGTATTTCTGTCATCGTTGGACAAGTAATATGGTTCAAGAGATCATTTGTGTGTATGTATGTGTGTGCGTGCGCTAAGTTAGTTCTTTGTTGGCATTTAACATTTAAGTAAGTAAGTATGTAAGTAAGTAACTAAAGTTAAAGATCCGTGTTACTTGGCACAAGTGAACAAAATTAAATATCACCTAATCAACAACGTGTTGTACAACGACTATAGCATAAACGAAGAAGAAGAAGAAGAAGAAGTGTTAACTATAATTCCGTGCAGTGTATTACTACTGTTTCCCTATATAAAAGAGAACACAATAAGAAGGTAGAAAGAGAGAGAAAGAGAGATAAAAAGACACTCGAATAAAAATGAATTTGTGATGGATGATAATTGAAAGAAAAGAAAATATAACATATTTAAAAATTGAAACAAGTAAAGAATAAGTATCTCGTTAAGTTGTAGTTAAAACAAATTGTCTGAAATTTTCTATCAGATAATTAAAAAAAAAGAAAAAGAGAGAGAAAGTAGTTAGTTATCTGAACTGAATCTAAAAAGCCGACATTGAACGCGAAATCTATTTCGATGAAGTCCTCGAGAAAGTCCTCGAGTGTGTCAATGTCCTCTATTTTTTTTTTTTTATCTCTCTCTATCTCTCTCTCTCTTTCCTTCTCTCCTTCTCTCTATCTCTCCTCTTATCTCTATCTTTCTCAACATTTTTCTTTAATTAATCTTAACCAAGTATATATATATATATATATATATATTGCTTCCAATTAATATTTTTCTAGATACCAGTACACATATAAATTGGTTCCCATTTGTTCGATGGATTAAAAATCACTCATAGTAACGAACAATTTGCAATTACCGATGATGAATATGACGTATTGTTTCTGTGCTGAATGCAAAATATAAGTGTATCCTTAAATTAGAAAAAAAAGAAAAAAAGAAAAAGGTTGTGAGATCAATTAATCAAATTATTGCAAATGATATTTTGTCTTTTTCTTACTTTGGTGTCAAAACAAAAATAATTAATTGGATTTTAAGAGAGATAACATTTGGAAGTATTTTAACGAGAAAAGGATGAAATGGGAGTGGATTAAGTAGAGTGAGAAAGACAAAGAGATAGAAAAAGAGAGAGAGAGAGAGAGAGAGAGAGAGAGAGAGAAATGTCGATTGGTGCTGTTCCAGGACGACGATGTTTGCTTTCCGCATCAAAAAGGAACATCTCGTAACCGACGTTGCAGTGACGTATTCGTGAGGGGCTTGTCTCCCCTCCTGATAAATCTCCTCCAACCAACCAACCAACCCAACCACCCACCCACTCACCTTCGCTAAAGAAAATCAGGAAACGTGCAACTTTTGTCTTCTGTGCGTGTGGTGGTGGTGGTGGTGGTGTGTGTGTTTTTCTTTTCCTTTTTTTTCTTTTTCTTTTTAATCGATGTCGAACATGTTCGCATGTCCTAGGGAGGCCGTACGTGTCAAAGTCAAGGTAAGAAAAAAAAAGCAACACACAATTATTGTTTGTTCTTTACTATTAAGATGAAACAAATGTGTACGTGCAGTTTGAAACACCGTATAATGGAGATTGGGTTTTTTTTTTTTTTTTTTTTTTTTAAAAAAAATATAAGTGTAACGATCATTTATTGCGAATACTAGAAAAATTGTTAACCAATCGCACGAATTAATTACTTTGCATTTCATACTTTCCCGCACTTTTTCCATTTTTTTTTTTTTTTTTTTTTTTTTTTTTAAATGAAGATACACGCTTGCCTACGCCATTGGGATCTAATGTTATAAGTTTATAACGGGACACACAAGTGGAATAATTACGAGCTCTAGATAATCATCGGATGATGATAATTAATGAGTCTTAACAAACTGTCTGCAGTTGGTGTTGGTTTTTGATAAAATTTATATTCTTCTTGTTTTTTCTTCTTCTTATTTTGTATTTATTTAAAAACGTTCAGACGTCTCGTTTGTAATTATTATTATTAATTACGTGTACGCATATATTGAGTATTTCGAAAAAAAGAAAAAAAAAAAAAGAAAAGAAAACATGGTCAGTGAAAAAATAAAGCTGCATTAATTTATATTTGGTTGTATTTTTTTTTTTTTTAATTCGTTAACTTTTATAGGTGAAAAAAAAAAAATTGTCGACCTTCGTGGAAAAATATTAAGGAAATATTATTCGGTTTATATTATATCGATCGAACTTACTTATATGTACGTACGTAAAGGTTCGTGCAAAGTTCGTTAAGGATCCGAAATTAGCGCCTTTCTATGCTACATTACTACTACTACCATCATATTACTACCCTCCTACTAAACTGTGTTAATGTGTAAATGGAAAACCTTTTAGGAAACGAGTTCTCTAAGCTCAAATACCTTCCTTTACTTTTATATTATATATATATATATATGCACATATTATATCTACTCACCTACATTTTATTTCGCGGTTTTCTTTTTTCTTTTTTTTTTTTATCGAGTACGTGCAACAATTTTTTAACTTTGCATCTTTTTCGTTCAATCCATACCATGAAAAATTGTTAGAGATACGCGATAACCATTCGTAAAGATAAATTATAAAATTTTGAACAGGATTTATAAAATAAAAAATAATAAATCATTGAATCAATTCAGTATACATCATTTTTTTGTTTGTTATCGTATCCAGAATCTTTAATATTGCGAATTGACCGGTTCAAGTTTCAATTATTAACTATTTTCAGGTTTTTATTAATTAAATCTAAATAATTTTAATATAGTAGTTGGATTTTTGAAAGAAATAAGAAAGAAAATATTGATTTGATTGAATTTGAAATGATTCAAATCTTAACCGGTTTTCAATGCATGTATTTATTGTACTAACTATAAAACTGGTTTTTCTATTTATAATATTTCAATCGGTATGTTGAATGTATTAATGGAAAGTCTGAAATAAACGTGTATATGTTATATAATAATATATATTTAATAAAATACTAAATAACAAATGTTGATTATTTAACTTACGTTGCATTTTAATAATTATTCGCGAGATATTTATATATAGTATATTTAATTAAAAATGAAAACACATATCTAGGAACCTTTTCTAAATACTAATTCAAATGTCACGTGTTACGGGGATTGATAATCGCGACAAGGTTAAGCTAGAAAAATACAACTCAAGTTGTTGACCTAAATCATTGAATTATATATCTATGATTAAAATCAATTTATAAACTCGGATTATTCGAAAACGTTAGTAAAATGATTTTCAATTCGTGATATAATTGATTTCTGGATATTTTTAAAAATATATACGAGATATTATTTCAAAGAAGAAGAAGAAAAATATCTATTTATATATAATATTATTCAAAGTAATATTTGTTTAATTATTTAAACAAAAAATAAATCGATACGTTTGTTAAATCGTAACTGTGTATACTTCTCTATGTGCATATATATATATATATAAAATTTTTATTCACACATTGACATAAACGTGACACTTATATCAAAATGATTAACGGGATTACGATTTTAAAAGGATATCACGATTGCGAATAATTTCTATTTCATTTTCCTGTTCTCTTTTTTTGTTGTTGTTTGTTCTTTTGAATAGAAATGCGAGACCAGACACCAACCGGAATATCGAAAATTCAGTGTAGATCCACAAATAACATCGATCGAAGTTCTTCAAAGTATACTAATCAAAGCATTCGATATCAAAGGGTAAGTTTATATGATTTTTATGATTTATCAAAATTAATTGAAAATATCTTCTGCTATATATAAAAAGCCAAATTTTAATAATTGTTCATTACAAATTCGCCAATTCAATATTATATTTGTTTTCTTTCATTGATTTTTGAAAAACGATTATAATATAATATGATAAATAAAACATTTGATTTATCGTTTCAAATAATTACACTTCGTTTTATTATTTAAACCAATTACCAAATGTTAATTTAACACAAATAGATTTATATATATATAGATATAAGTTATGATTAATTTTTATTTTTAAATAATAAAACATTCTAAATGATCAAAAAAAATGTTCTATCATTACCATATGTATTATACAAATATAAGAAATGTAAAAAAATAAGTGTTTTAAAAAACAAAACAAAAATACGAATACTTTTTCAATAGAAGAATACCTTCGTTCGATGAGTATAAAAAAAAAAAAAAAGAAAAACAAGGATAATAATACCGATGATAAAATCTTATATAATAAAATATAAATAGCATAATATAAAGACACTTACCCGATTATAAAACAAACGTTTTCCTTTTTCTATTCTTTTCTTTTCTTTTTTCTTTTTTTCTTCCTTCGTATTACAGAGAATTTACAGTCTCGTATCGGGCGATAGATGATTATGGCACGGAGACGTATTTGTTCCTCCTCTCGGATTGGGATTTGGATGCAGCGTTTATCAGGTAAAATAAAAGATAATAAGTTTTTTGGGAAACAAACAAAAGAAAATAAAAAAAGAAAATAACAACTGTGACAAAGTTTATTTTAAAAAATATCCACTCAGTGCTTCAGAACCTTACCTCTATCTGCAAGTGAATTTGAAGCCGTTCGGTGAAACTGACGATTGCGACTGTTATTGGGAACAGAATGCACAGGAAGTGGCAACAAGACAACAGGAAACTGGATTTCCTTATAAAACACCAAAGTTACCCGGCCTCATAATGAATAAGGCGAGTAAAAAGTAATAAACTTTCATAAGTGTATTATTTTGTTAGAATTTTTATAATCAATACAATTATCATTAGGATAATTATAAAACAACGAGTTAAATATTGAACCCTTTAATCACAGGTAGTAGAAGTTAAACAACCTATCAATTATTCGACTATTCGATATTTCAAACTTTACAGTATATTATTTAATTAAAGAGCACACATTTTTCAAATCAAATCTTTAATATATATTCAATATATTCAAATGAAATCTTAAAATACGTCGTGATAATTCGTAAATTATTATATATTGATTAATAAATATATTATATATAATATATTTGATTATATCATTGAAATTAGTTAAATTATTAACAGATGGAAAGAACATTGAACATGGTACAACGAGCATTGGGTAATTTGAGCGAGGAATCTTCACACCAACAAAGTGTTCAACCACCAAGGCCACCATTGATGGATGCGGAATTTCGTCGTTTCTTAGATCCCATCGGTCAGGTGATACATTCTAAAGAATTAAGGGCAGTTATTTATTTCGGTGGGATCGAACCAAGTTTACGTAAAGTCGTTTGGAAACATATTCTAAATGTTTATCCCGAAGGTATGTCTGGACGTGAAAGAATGGATTATATGAAAAGAAAAGCACAGGAATATCAAAATCTTCGTGAAAGGTGGCGAGTATTGGTACAAAAGGGTCAAAACGTTGGTGATCTTGGATACGTAACTAGTATGGTTAGAAAAGATGTTCTTAGAACTGACAGACATCATAAATTTTATGGTGGTTCGGATGACAATCAAAACACGGCAAGTTTGTTCAATATATTGACTACATATGCTTTGAACCATCCGAGTGTTAGTTATTGTCAAGGTATGAGTGATTTAGCATCACCACTTCTAGTCACCATGAGAGACGAAGCTCAAGCTTACATTTGTCTTTGTGCTCTTATGAGAAGATTAAAAGATAATTTTATGTTGGACGGTATCGCGATGACGACCAAGTTTGCTCATCTTGCCGAAGGTATTATTTTGTTTTAGTTTTAATATTATTTAGAACTATAAAGATTAAGTTGCTAAAGAAGGGACGAATAAAGGGACAAAACATACAACTTAGTTAAATTAAGTTCTACTTCTTTTTATGTCCAAGTTCCCTGTGATGATACCTTCTCATTAAGAATTGTATTTTTGGACGAGAGAAACAACTGATTATTTAGAAAATTACATTTATATATATACGATTATATATATATCCAATTTTCTTATTTTAGGTTTACAACATTACGATCCAGAATTTTACGCTTATCTGAAATCACATCAAGCTGACGATCTTTTATTTTGTTATCGGTGGCTTTTATTAGAAATGAAACGAGAATTTGCCTTGGATGACGCTTTGAGAATGTTAGAAGTACTTTGGGCTGCACTTCCAGCCCAACCACCAAACGGTGAACTTAATCTCGCTGAAGTACCCTTCCCACCACCCTCCCCACCTCCTAGTCCTAATATTAAACACATACGTGAGAATGCTTATACAAAAGTATGCGCGATTAGACGGCAAAGTTCATCGGCCAGTATTGCCGCTAATGGAAAACGAAAAAATATCAGCATGGAAGAATCGGTAATGCAATCAACATTGGAAAGAAACGGTGACACTAAAAGGTAGTTTTATTTCTATTATATTATTATAATATTAAACAATTGTTAAATAATCGTTATTAAATATAATCGATACTTCCTTAGATCGAATTCCCCGTATGAGACATCCTCGGAACCGGAAAATGATTTGACCACGACTAAAAATCGTCGTAATTCTGAATCCACTGAAAAATGTTACAGTACTGATTCATTATCTGGAAACTTATCCGGAAAAACAAAACGGGTTAATTTAATGGAATTGAAAGATAGATTGTCTCTGCAAAATAAAGATCAAATTAAAGTTAACGATCAATTTGATACTCCGGAAAAAAAGTGCGTCAGGGTTGTCAAGAATTTGAACGAATTTTTAAATTTCACTAGCTTGAATAGAAATAAAGTAACGCCTAGCGATACCGAGCCGGAACTTAGGTACAATATATATATATATATATGTATATATTTGTTAATTAAACAAAAAAATATAAATTATATTTGATTGTTTTTATACACAGAAGAGTTTCGAGCGAAAGTGGTGTACTCAGAGTTCTCAGGGACGAACCAAGTTCACCGGATGATCCAACTGATTTTTTCCCAATGACTACATCAATGACTAGAGAATTAAGACTGGAATTGGAGTCACTTGATCGACAAGTTTTTGGTCCTTCGCCACCGAGCGAACAACAATGTGATTGCGTATTATCGAAACGAGAAAGCGAATTGGCAGAAAGCGAAACGGAAACGGAATTAGCTAGATGTAGTCCAGTAGCGGACGTATTTGTATGGGAAAATCCATTACATACATTGCAACAAAAGCATCACCCTGCTACACCAGACGAACAAGCTGATCTCGAATACGACGGAGAAATATTGGAAGATCAAAATGGTGTTAAATCCGTAACACCTATCAGATTACTCAAACGAAATGCAAGGTTGTTATTATTATTATTGTTTTGTATAATTGTATATTTTTTAAACACTTGAAATCATATCCGCGTGTGCAATATTTTGTAAGAAAAACTTGTTCAAAATGATTAAAACTTAATTTTCATTATACAGATCTGAATCTGCATCGGATAGCGAGGGTACAGAAAGTTGGCATCAGAATACAGAAGCACCAGAGAGTCCAACAAAACAAACGGTTCAAGAACATTGCGAGGAAGCTACGGAACTTACAAATTTAATTCCAGCAGGTACAAGCGAGGATCAATCGGGAGAAAATTCATTACCACCACCTAACGAATTTGGCGGTGGTAATCCCTTCCTAATGTTTTTGTGTATTACATTATTGTTACAACACAGAGACTTTGTTATGCGTAATCAAATGGATTACAACGAAATGGCAATGCATTTTGATAAAATGGTTAGGCGACACAATGTGATTAGAGTACTTAATCAGGCAAGACAATTATTTGCCGGTTATTTAAGAAGACATTCCGTGACATCGGCTATTGTCAAATCGGACTGTGTGAACGTTTAAAACGAAAAAAAAGAAAGAAAGAAAGGAAAGAAAGGAAGAAGAAAATGGAAAAAAACGAAACACAAAAATAATGATAACATATTTTCCCAATGGAGTTCTTCCAATTGACAAATACGTACGTGTGGAATAATTAAAACATAATATATTCTATTACGTACGCAAACCATAACTAATTCGAACGGGGCTTATTAAACGCGCACATATCTCATCCTCTTCTTTCCTCTTGCGTATTCCTTAAGCGCACGTGTAATCTATGCCAGTAAAATAAACTGTTCCATAGCACTCGTTGATCGAAAGCTCTCCTATTCCCAGCCCACTCAAACCCACCCACCCCATCGGTCCCCTTTTTGCAATATTTTACTAGATACAAAAGAACGAATATAAAAATAAAAAATAAAAAAATAAAAAAAAAACAAAGACGCAAATATTCGTCGCGTTAATAGAAATTATACATGTGTAGAATTTTGACGACGCGTGCCTTCTTGAAACGGTATTCAGCCTTAGCCGGATTTTTAATAGGCACATACGTTAAAAGAAATCTAAAATTTACAAAAAAAAAAAAAAAGAGAAAATATTAAATTTAAATTTAAAAAATAATAAGCCCCGTTTATGAAACTAAGCGATTGCTTACGCACGACACATCATATCTCAAATAAGAATTGCACAATATCATCAGCACCGCGTCGATGAACCCTTTTTGTCGGCGAACAAAAACAAACACACACACACACACACACACACACACACATACTCTTTTCGGTCGTACCTCGAATTAGGATTAAATCCTCCCTCTAGCTTAAATCTGTAAAATATGTATCTTAAAACTATTTTAGCGGCTACAACTCTTAATTTGTTCTCAAACGGGTTATGCTTGAGAAACGACAATAAAGTGCATTTAATTTTATCTCTATTTATATTATAGACTTTTATTAAATATTATATCGTAATTATAAAAAAAAAAACATTCATTTTTGCCACCCACTTTTATTTTCTAAAATACATTATATAACAGATGTATCAGATAAGTATCTATAATTTTATATTTTCATTGTTTATTCATTGAAAAATCAATTTATTAAATTATAATTATTTAAGTTCGTGCTAGAGATTGCAATAAATAAGCGATTTGAATATTCCTAATTGCTTATCAGAATTTAATTTAGATGTTACATGAAATACTGAAATAATTTCACAGAAAAATCTAGGAATGTCTGTCTAACATTTATTTTCTACCGCTAGAACTATTTGACAAAATATGTATCATATTCAAAAAGATATTCATAGTATCCAAGTAAATAGAAACAGCGCTGAAAATAAAAACAAATACGTTATTAATTAATTTTACCCTATCAAAATAGAAACAAAATTAAATTCATTAAATATTTTCTTCTTTTACAATATACTTACTTATTTATCGGGTCGTATTGTTTCATACTTCTGTCGTAATACATAGGATATTCTTCTGCTTGCTTAACAATTTTTTGTGTATCATATAAAAGGAACATGGAAAAAAGTACTATTCCACCATAAACGGATAAAGTATAAAGACTAGTACCCAAAGCAGTAGTGGGTGGTAAGAAAATGGATCCTAGCGAACTAACTAATACAACTCCCAAACCGATAGAAAGAGGACCAGCCATCTTTAAAAACTTTTCACTAGGTGCACACATTGCTACAGTCGATAACCCACCAATTACCCCAGCCGTATACAATGCAGCTCTAGTTAATAATGGGCCACCCAAGAAACATATTGGTGCGATAACAGCACCCATTAAACCGGCATGACCCATCCATGCTAATTGTTTAGCACCAAAACCTTCCTTGTAAGGAATACTTCGTACTATTATGCTACTACCAATCACTGCTGCAAGTGTACCGACCACTGCCATCCATCCTTGATTGGATACAAGTCTAATTATTGTAGGAGAACGGAAACACAAGGCAGCAGATGCTGCTGTGAGGATGATAGATCCACCAAAGTACATATAAGTTGTTCTAATTCTTTCTTTTACGTACTCGGGCCAATAACTGTCAGAAAGTAAAATAATTATGTTAACATAGAATTAACTAGTTTATCATGATGATGTACCATTTGTTTTCCAATCTTAGAGGACCGTAAAATATTTTGATTACAATTTTTCACTACTGAATACAAAACTAATAATTCATAGTACTTTTTCTAAATAAGAATTAGGTTACAAATTTATTAGTTCTCGATATTTATTTGATTTTATTAATCATTTGAAGTGCTACGTTTAGAGTCCAAATATTCTTTAAGCTTTACTTTTAAATATAAATCTGAATATACATACTGTACTTTGTCTATGGCTCCAGGCCTACTATCAAGTCCTAATCCATAATAACAAAGGGCACCTAATCCAAATGCAGAAGCACCAGCAAGTACAGCTTTTCCAACCATCATTGCTAAAATATAATCAACGATTAGAAACCCATGAGACACATAAGAAAGGAACAAAAAATTAAATGAATATTTTTAATTCATTTATAGGTTATAATTGAAAATTATATTTACGTGTTTCGGTAGCTGGTTGTGATAATCGTTCTGCAAAAGTTTTTTCTTTTCGTGCACTTCTTGTAAATGCAGTACGTCCATCGTTGGCGAAAAATCTCGAAGGTTGGATTTTGTTTAATATTGGTTTTGAAGTAATAGGAGTTTTTATTAAATTTACTATGGTCGGGGAAATGCCCACCCGACAAACTCTAGCCAACATCATCTTGCTTTTTTTTGTCTTTTTTACTTATTCACTCGTATTATATCTGTTAAAAAAATAAAAGCACAAAATTAATTTTTTAAACGTAAATAAATTATCCACACATAAAACACATTATTTCATACTGCCATTTGCATTACGTACAATTTATTTGATTCCAACAAAAACTCGCGTAATCGAATGAAATCGTTGAAATTAAGAACAATAATTTGTGAACAGTTAAGATACTGTTATTCTAAAAAATGTAATATGCAATTTACTTACATGATGCAATAACGATGCAACCTGAATCGAAATTGTACGAACGATAGATGGATGCAACTGTTTCCGATTGCTACGTGATGCTCGATTAGTCGTTAACGACGCATGCGCAGTTACTCGATGAAATTTCTCGAACATAATTCATTTATAATTAATATAGATGAATCATAATTCGAAGAATAAATATAAATTTCATTTAAATATTATATTAATTTATTATCATATAAATATATTAATATATTATATCTATACATAGTTTAATTTGAAAATAATAGTTAGATTAAATTCAAATTTCCCGCCAAACAAAAAACGATATATATCGAACCCATGAAACAACATACACGATCGATTAGAACCAACTCTGGGTTTACTTCACGTCGCATCAACGACAAGTGTTAGAACTAAATCAATATTTTCTATTTAGAATTATGATATTTCTAATTTTTTAATATGCAATATCAAAATTTATTCTAACATAATTTACATAAATTTGTATACGCATAAAACACTGAAGTATCATTATATTCGTATAAAAAAAAATATATATATATCTCACGAGATTATTGTATTATTTTAATTTTCTTTTTAAAACGTTTCTTTTTAAATTGTCTTTCAATTTAAAGGATTGACAGAGTCCTTCGACAAAGCTGGCAACGATTCTAGGCCACTCGATACGTATAAACTCACGGTGCCAATTATTTACGACAGAACAAAGCCTATTTAATCAATCATTTAAAAAATCGACATTGAATTTTGACAAAATGCAAATTAAGAACAAATTAGTATACATTCCTTCACAATCGAATTAAATAATAATTCATTCCTATTATTTCTTTTCACGAATGAATTAACGTTAAAAATGAAAACCATGAATTTTATATAAAAAAAAAAATAAATAAAAGAAAAATAATTCGAACATCAATGAAGTTACATTTGTACGTAACAATTAAAATGTTCGTATGTTCGTCTAAAATCCTTGAGTACTAGTTCAGAACGAGGACTAGTTCAATGAACGGTGATTAGAAAATAATATATATATACAACGCTTTACTCTTTTAACTTATAATTCGTTCATGAAAACATTCTCCGATTGATATTCTATCCATTTGAAAAATATTTCTACGTTTGGGAATTAGAAAATAGAAAAAAGAAAAAACAAGAAAGTAATGAGAAACGATAGAGAGAAAGATTAAAATGAGATGAATATAGGATAAAAGCTATTGATGAGGTGAAGGGGGGGAGGGAAGAAAAACAAAACAAAAAAAGGAAAGAAAAGAGGTAAAAAAAAAAAAAGAATGCCCAAAGAAAAGAGAAAGAAAGGAAATAAAGGAAAAAATATTCGATCCGATTCCGTAGAATAGTACCGCCAACAACCCCACGAGGAATTCACGCGCATGCGCGGCGTATATTAGACGAAGGGTGAGAGAGAAAGTAAATGTGTGTGTGTATGTATGTATATAAGAGAGAAAGAGAGAGAAAGTAATAGAGAGATCGAACATTGAGCTTATATACTCTCTCTCAGTTTGCTCCCGTTCTTCTCGCGAAATTCTCTCCTTTCTATTCACTTTGAACCATCACTAAATATCTTTCGTATCTCATCCTCCATGAAATAATATATTTTTAATTATATCGCATTGTTAGAGTTCGATAAACGTGAGAAAAACATTATTCGTGAATATAATTGTGTATCGATTTATTAAAAAAAAAAAAAACATCATCATCATCCAATCGTTTTCAGACTCGTGGTCTGAATTTTTGTGGAATGATCGAATACGAAAATTAGGATCATAGATATTTCAATCTAATATCTTTTAAATAAATCTAAGGATTCGTGCATTCGATTGATTAATCAAAAGATTGCGCATTGTCTATTACTGGTAACCACAGATAACGTAAGTAACAATTTTGTTTCATTTATTTAATAATGAATTATATTAATTGTATATTAATATATCGAATAAAAAATGATGTTTATGGAGAAAAGAAGAAAAAACATAGTTCGTTAGATTGATTTTATTTGTAATAATAGCTATTTGAAAATTGTTAGAAATATGTCCGAGATATTATGACGTTATGACTATAGACAGACATATAGAAGTAATACAGGGTGCAAAGCACTCGACTATTCTAAACGGGGGGGGGGGGAATAGGAGGGTTGAGAAGGGTGGGTGTATTCTTAAATCGTCATTTTCTATTTTAATCTAATCCCATAAATGATCATTTTATCATTCCAACGATATATTTCCTATGTTAACATTTCTATTTCCATTTTCTATATATTCGTTTCAATCTCAATTGCATTGTTTCTCTTATTTTTGTTTTTTTTTTTAATTATAAAATACGATACTCGCGTATAAAAAAAAACGTTTACTTTTACATATTTAATTAACAATTTGATTTCAAGTGTTTATTGTAAAAGAATTCATTAATAATGGTGAGCACGATTGCAGAACACCAACATACATCCTGTTACTGTTCCCGTTACTGCAGTAAAGTTTATAGGCATTTGAAGAATCTACGTAAAAGCAGCCATGTTCATTCGTGATACGAAAAACGGGAATAATATTATTCTATCAAATATAAAAGATACACGTTGTCAACGCGTATATTCTTTTCCCTTTTCCTTTTCCTTGCTTTTCTTTTCTTTTTTTTTTCTTCCCTTTTATTTTTTAACCTCGAACAAAGGTAGAGTCTGTATTAATTAGGAAGGGACCCGCGTTCAACGCTGCAAAGCGGAACGCACAAAGATGAGTTACTCGATCGATCGACGCGTGACTCTTTCTACGAAACAGATACACACATGCACACACGTACACACAGACAAATACACACATACGAGTATTATATACGCACACGTAGGAGGAGGAGGAGGTAAAAAACTACTTTTCGATCCACTAATTTTTCTATTTTTAGCAAAAGAAAAAAGAAACAGCCTTCCCCACCCCTTTCCCTTTCCCTTCATCCCCCCAGAGAGATTTTGACACATCGATCGAGTGAAATTTGAGAACACGGTTCGTTAGAAATGATATAATCCGATTAGTTAAGACGAAAGAAAAGAAAACATAAACGACTAGTGTTCTGAGGAAACCTCATCTCGACTTAAAAAAAAAAAAATAGGAACTTCTTACGAGGTATCTTTGTGCGTAAACATGAAAAAAAAAATAGTAAAGGGGGGAAACTGTAAAGAATTCTTTTCGACGATTCGTAACAAGATTCTTTCGGTGTAACGAAGAAATACGACGAGGTTGTGTGTAAGGAGAGTTTAAACAGAAGCCATTGAAATAAATCGTTCGGGGGTTCTTAAAAAACAGGGACAACGAAAAGATTACAATTTATCAAACACGTACGTTTTTTGATGTAAGTTTAAATAAAATAATTTAAAAAAAGGAACATTGTGAATAAATAGAAATATCTCTCGTACGGGGTGGTGGTTTGTTTCTAAACAATACAATTATGATCATATATATTTTATTTATTATTTAATATTGTGTGTAATAATATAACAAATCAAAATTCTTATCATTACATACGCGTCGTTCGATTGTAAACGTAATATAATATTTATTAAAAAACCGAATAATTATCATAGAAAATAAACAAGGTACATATTATTCGTAAATTGTTGTAAATAAATTGAATAAGTTGAGATTTTGAAAATTAAAGATAGCAATGAAAAAGAGAGACACAAATGAAAAATGAAATAATAGTTTTATGATTATACTGTTATCAACGCGAAATACTTTATGAAATGACGAATAATTTTTAGTATTTATTATTTTAGTATTTATTAGAAAATGACGAATAATTTTTAGTATTTATTATTATATATAT